AAATAAATAGCTTCACATATACCGTTAATCAGGAAAATATAAATACAGAATGACAATTCTTGAATTTACACACAAACTGTTGTTTTGGTCCATCACTTCTGGTATGTGAAGCTTTATAAATTTGAATTTGAATGTGTTCAATAAAATAAAAAGCATTTTTTAACTTCTTGTATTACCGAAGTATTTATCTGAGTTCCAAGAAGACTAATAAGACCCGCTTTAATATTGTCGTTGACACATGATAAATATTCGTTTTCGTTTGTAGGGCTTTTCACTACCCACATAATTGGTGTGTCCACTTTCATTCTCAATTCTCTAATATACGATGGTTTCAAATTAAATTGTGATAGAGAACACAACTCATCTTTAATATATGAGGGAAATAATGTAGTATCAGTCTTTTTCTGAAAAACGTCACATACACATTCAAGCTCCATTTTTGGTAATTATTAGTTTTTTGATATAAAAATAAACAGTTTTGTTTATCAATTTGTATGAATAAGATATATATTATATTTTAACTACAAATGAATAATAACAAATACTTTATTAATTTTATATTTAAATTATAAATTTCATGTTTTATAAACATCACAATATTTTTTGCAATTTTTCATTCATTAATTTTTCTTTTTTTCAACAAAAAAGTGAAAAAATATAATTATTATCATTAATAAAATTATTTATAATAATTGTAATTAATTTTACTTTTTTATGGTATATTTTATTAATAAATTATTAAAAAATAAAATGTAGATGTGTCGGGTTTGGGTTTAAAAAATATTCATCGAATATTTTTATACAAAAAAATAAAGTTTTCTAATCATCACCAGAACAACAAAAGGATGTTTATTTTCAAATACGTGTTAAATGCATATAACTTTTTGAGTTTGTTTATTTTTATTTATTTTTATAAATTTTTTAATATTCTGCACTTTTAAAACCAATTTTATCACTTTATAATAACGGTTAGAACTGAGATTATAATTATTTTTCAAAAAATAAAAATAAAACAATAAGTAAAATAATTATATTGAAAAATTTGAAATGCCAGATGGCATCAAATAAAATAAAAAAAACAAATAAGATATAAATACCACCAGAAAATTGCCTTACATGATTTATAATAAAACAAAGAATACAATAATAAAGTTTTACTAAAAATTTGACTGAACAATCAAATAATTTTTTTTATTTTAAAAAAATATAAAAAAGAAATTATTCAGAAAAATAATATAAAACTTATAGTTTAACTGTTTCCTGTTATAGAATAGTTTTCTGGTGTTCTTTATTTAAAATTAAAAATAAGATAGTAATCCAATTAACAATGATTTGAATAAGCAAAATGTATTTATCAACTACATAAAATATACTAAAATCCAAAGAGATAACGATAATAATAACATATTCTTGTTGTTATTTTTTACAAAAATCGTTTGTAATTAACAATTAAAAGGTATTAAAAACGTTTCTTTTGTGTTGTGCTATTTATTCAAAAAATAATATTATCAAAAAGTCTTAAGCAATGTAATTTTTTAACAAAGGTCTTTTGTGAAAATGTAAATGTAATATAATGATCTAGACGTTTTATTTATTGTGTTTCATCGAAAATAATTATAAATTTAATAAAAAACTTGGAGTAGTAATTTTTTTAAGGTTAATATATTATAATAAAATATTTAATAATGTAAAACTTGTTAAAAACAATTACGATTTTGTGTTTTATGTTTATTGTTTTAACAATTGCTATTACAAAAAGTTTTTAAAAAAGTCAAAATTTTAGTTTTAAAAAGTTTGTAACATTAAAAAAATGAATCACAATCAAGATTTGTAGATGTTAAAAGCCGTTTATTATATTTATGTATAAATATTGATAAACTAATTATCCACAACTCAAATATTATATATGAAATCTATATAATAAAATTTTATAAAAAATTACGGGACCTACATTGACCACCACCACCTCTTAAAATAGATTTATTTTTTCTATTTTGAATCATATTCAAATTAAAATTATAGTAAATAGGAAACTGGGATAATATTAGGTCTGGTTCCCGAATTCAAAAAATGCCGAAAATTCACCTCGAGTGAGTGGAAACCGAGTGAGACGGAGCATTGAAAAGAAGGTTCTGAAGACACACTCAAACAGTCTGTTTGTGCACCGTTTCACCCACTTTCCAAGTCCTCCCTTGGCGCGGATCCCCCCTGATCCCCCCCGCAAGCAGGGGGGAACCACATCCGCGTCCACACAGTACGGACAAGGAAAGTGGGTGACATGGGGACGCACAAACAGTGGCTGAAAAATGGACTTCCTTCAAAAAACACTCGCGGCAAATATTTTATTTTGGTAAAGGTGGTCGTGGTCAATGTAGGTCCCAAAAATTACATAAATTTAAATTCCTAAATAAACAAAAAAATAAATTTAAGTAAGAACACTAACTACAAAATAAATATCTTTTAATTTGCAAATAAAATTTTACATTTTTTTGTAAAAATCGACTTTGAATATTTAAAATAATTGTTTTAATAAATGCACAAATTTAAAATTTTAGTGTTTAAAGCAAATGTCGAAAAATTGTTTTAACATTTTGAATAAGTAGAAATATAATTTAGTTGTTAATGATAAAAACACAAAAATAATATTTTATTATGTTAGATTAAAAAGTGTTTGATTTTTATATAAATATAATACTAATACAGTGGTATTCACTTTAAATCCTTTACCCGGCATTTTAAATAATTTTTTATGCATTTTAATAAAACTGTTTTCATAATTTTTATTAATTCGGAAATTATAATAAATTGTATTAACAAGTTAAATAAAACAAACGGAAAAAGAGAAAAAAAGACCAGAAACAAAATAATTCGAGTTTTACAATTAAATCAAACGGCACGAAAATAAATCATTCGGAACATTAATAAATATATTTTGCATTAAGAATTAATTCACTTATATTTTAATTATTTCGTCACCAAATCAATTATAGTAAATTTTTTAAAATAATTATTATATAATCTTCATTTCAATAATCAAAATTTGAAAATACACATGAAGCGTTCTTCTTTAGAATATATTGATGTTACTAACGTAAGTCCGCCGATTACATTGAAAATACTCCCGAACTACAACAAAAGTTCCTTTAGTAACTCGAC